GTTACGGCAGGGGGCCCAGATCCCAAACTGCTTCCTCCCCGCCCCGCCCCCCCAGCTGAAAGGAGTTGGTTTGGCTTCCTGGAGAACCTGGCCCGCTGGGTAGCCTAGCCAGCCACAGAGCGGGCAGGGCCGAGGAGTCAGGCCGTCGGCAGGAGACCTGTGGCCACGGACCGTTTCCATTTTGCCCCATCAACAAATTCCACAGCAACGCTAGTTTGTGGGGACTTTTCCACTCTGCTCTCAACACTTCCCTGAGCTGCCCGTTCCCTCCAGAAACGTCCCATTGCCCTGGTTCATCATGACACGTTGAACCTCTCTGATCCGGCAACACCCCTGGTCCGGCAGGATTGGAGTTAGCTGGGTGTCCACTTACTATGGGGGTGGCCAAGTTGTCTGTGGTTCCATAAAGTTTGTTTACAGCCAGCCACCCATTCTGGCTCTGTCCGGCGCTGTTATCTTCTCAGAGCCCAGCAAGCAGTGGCAGTGCCGGTAATGCTGCTAGACAACACTGGCGTCCCGTGGTTTGGTGAATTCACCGGTCAGGTCCCGAGGGTGCCGGACTAGAGGGGTTCAGCTGTTATAACTGTCGCCAAAGAGGTGACACTGGCCAATGCCCGATCAGCCAAGCCCTGCGGCTCTTACTCAGGTTTTACTCAGGTTTTACTCTCTCTGGCTTCCTCTAGACTGGCAAGTTTTTCCACAAAAGCAGCTGCCAGCTGTCTACACTGGCCGCTTGAATTTCCGCAGGAACACTGCCGATCTCATGTAAGAAATCAGTGCTTCTCGTGGAAATACGATGCTGCTCCCGTTCGGGCAAAAGTCCTTTTGTGCAAGAGGGCCAGTGTAGACAGCTCAGATTTGTTTTGCGCAAAAAAGCCCCGATGGCGAAAATGGCGATCGGGGCTTTTTTGCGGAAAACCACGTCTAGATTGGCCACGGATGCTTTTCCGCAAAACGTGCTTTTGTGGAGAAGTGTCCGTGCCAATCTAGACGCGCTTTTCCACAAATGCTTTTAACGGAAAACTTTTCTGTTAAAAGCATTTGTGGAAAATCCTGCCAGTCTAGATGCAGCCTCTCAGACAGAACCCTGAGGCTGAAGTCACCGGGAGAAGCCACGAGGTGCTGATCACCTGCCAATTCACTGATTTCCTGGGGTGAGGCTTTGCCCGAGCGTGGGATGTCAGAGCGTCCAGCGGAATGGCACGGGAACACTACGGTCTCGCTGGCCAGCTCGTAGCAAGGAGACCAAGTGGGGGCAAAAGGGAGGGGAGACCCATGCAAAACGCCTGGTGAACTCTGTCTGGAAGGCGAGGCGCATGCAGGCAGGCCGTGCCGGGTGGCGCAGGCCCCAGCCAGCTGCACGTCTCATCGGGGCAGGGCAGGGCGAGCCAGCGGGATGGGGACGTGACCAGCAGCGACCCCTTTGCCTGAGGAGAGAGAGTGCCTGAGGGCAGCTAGGGCCAGGCCTTGGCGTTGCTCCCGGCTCCGCGCCGCAGGCGTCAATTAGCCGGCGCTTCTCAAATCGCTTTCCCGTCAGGCCCTGCTTCCACGGGAGCAGATTAACTCAGCCCTCCCCTGGCTGTTCCCTGTGAGGGGCT